AAGCGCCAAGCCGATCGCCATCGCAACGACCACACCATCACGGTGGGAGACCAGGTGCTTCTTGACACCCGCAACCTGGACATCAGCCACCTCCCGTCTAAACTTCGACCTCGCTTCTGCGGGCCTTTTCTCGTTGAAGCACAGGTCACTCCTGTTACCTTCCGCTTACGCGTGCCAGCTACCTGGAAGATTCACAACGCCTTTCATGTCCAGCTTCTGAAGCCCTATCGGGATCCGAACACGATCTTCGTCGGACGCCAACCGCCGCCGCCGCCGCCCGTCCTCGTCCACAATGAACCCGAGTACGAGGTCGAGTCCGTGCTAGCACACCGCCGACGTCGGAATGGCACCGTGGAGCTTCTCATCCGTTGGAAGGGTTATGATCCTTCTGAGGACAGCTGGGTCCCTGAGTCCGACATGGGTAACGCCCGTCACCCTCTGCATGACTACCTTGTCAAGAAGGGTGTTACTTCTACCACCCAGCTTTGAGGGGGGGAAGTGTGAGAGTACGACCCCGTTACACCACTTGTCCCTTTTCTTATTTCCTTCCTCGTTCATTTCTCTTTATCTCATCTTATTTGGTTTCCTATTCTCCATTTTCCATTAACCTTTGGTTTATCCTGCTATTATAATTATATCACCGACCAGGCTTGGGATGTACTGGTGCGCTATCTGGCGTAATCCTGCCGTAATCCCTTAAAGCCAATAGCCTCGCGTGGCTATACGCAGGGTGATTCTATCTTCTAGAAGGGTCTATTCCCTTTGGATAGGATAAACCTGGTTACCTGATGTAATCTGGAAGTATAAAAGCACCTTGTACTGATCGATAGTGCAACCTTTCCTCGACACATTCGATCCTGTGACAATCTTCCCCCCAAGCCATGCACCACGCCTTTGGTTGCCATGGCATGGATCATCGAGGGATCGGCATGACCAAGTCGGTTGTGCCAAGTGGAGAGTGAGGCTGTTGTTGTAGCCGCATGCGCCGATGCAATAACGGGGAGGGCCTCAAGTTTGTAGAGCCCTCCGACTTGCCGTGCCGTACCGATGTTCCGCCCGCGCCCCGAACTAAGCTCCATCGCTGTCCCCTCAATGCTCATACGCATCCCCTTGCGTGTCAATTGGGAGACGGAGATGAGATTCGCGCCGAGCCCAGGAACCACCAAGACGTTCTTGATGGTGAGAGAACCGTCGCCCACCACAAACCACAAGTTGCCGCACCCCGTGATGTTCAACAAGTGGCGGTTGCCAAACATAACGTGCTTGATTGGTGTATGTGGGGACACGTTGTTGAGGAGCTCCGTACATGCCGTCATGTGTTGTGTGGCGCCCGTGTCGACGATCCACGCATTGCTTCCTCCAACGGTTGTGCTGCCCGCCACGAACACGATGTCACAATCGGTGTCGTCGCATGTCGCCACATCCGCACGCCGGTTGCTATGATACGTTGATGGCGGTCTCCAATTTGCCGGTTTGACGGGACATTCTCGCCACCAATGACCACGCTTCTTGCAAAAACGGCATGTTCCGTCGCGCATCCATTCTTGATTTGCGTTGGACGGTCCTCCGTTTGATGAGGTTGAGGCCCCACGCCGCCGTTCGAGTTACTGCGGTTGATGCCGTCGGTGCGCCACTTGAAGTTACCTTATCCTCTTGCCTTCACATCCCGAAAGAAGTGCGCCGAACCGATTGCATCACCATGCATGCGGTTGCGTATCATCTCTTTTTTGATGAGGCATGGCACCATTTCTTCCTTCTTCCAAGTAGCTTGAACGTCATCCAACATTGTGATGACGGTCGACCATTCTTCGCCGAGGCCCGAGAGGAGAGTCATGATCCAATCGTTTTTGTCAACGCACACGTCGAGTTCAACCGTGCGCTCGCCAAGCTCTTCCACGCGGTTCACATATATGCATCATTTTGCCGTCCCGCATCCGCACCGTGAAGAGTTTGTGACGAGCGTGGAGCTTGCCACGAAGCGACTTCATGATGTGCATATCCTTGAGACGCTTCCACGCTTCACGAGTCGCATCTTCGCGGTCGATGCACGAACTCACGACGGGTACGAGTTGAAGACTGAGCTTGGATACGAGAAAGGCAAAAACCTTTTTGTCCTTCTGCACCCATGCCTCACGTTCCCCGGACGGAGCACCCTCAAGGGGTTTCGATTCCGAACCATAAAAAATCCCCACAACTCGTGCTCCATCATGTACACTTTGAGCTTGAAGCGCCACGAGGAGAAGTGCTTCCCCTGAAAAAGTGGCACCGCGCTCATGTCGACGAAATGCGGCGTCGACATGGATTCAGGGGAACCGAAGGGATTGGGAGGCACATTCGACGAGGACGCCGTCGTGGTAGAACCTATGTCAAGAGAAACGATTGATCCTGTACTCCTAACCTAGCTCGGGGACCATGAAAGATTTCTAAACCGCCTTGTAGTAAGCGACGCCACGACCAGAGGTTGGCGTCTTAGGAGGCATGAGTAAAATCGAAATAACGACCTCAGATTGGCGCACACGTAGCACTTGGAATGAGCTCGAAAGCTTAAGAATTGAGGAAGAACCAGTCAATTATATAGAGTTGGGTACAAGATACTTCAATGGAACTGACCATACAGTTTTGCCTCTCTGGATTTTAAACTAACAAGCAAGCAAGTAATTGTAACATCGAAGCACGCGCGACTCAACAGAAATTCAGACTTTGGGGTTGCGTCCAATTTCTGTTTAGTCCGCGGCTCGATTCCAAGTCCGAACGCGGACTCGGTCCAAATCAATCGCGTCATGCGTTGACTTGTTCCAAACTTGCGAAATATTGAGTATAGCGAAAGTTTCAAACTTCCGCTACCCTCCAATATTTTTTCGCAAGTGCTTGAGTGGCTTCCAAGTGGTGCCCTTCAAACATTTCGGACCAACCAAGGAAAAACTTGGTTGTGTGGCGACGCGGACAAATCCGCCGTCACCACTCCTTCCTAGCAACCGACCTCCCTTAATCCAAGTCAAGGGAGGTCATTGGCGTGGGGGGCAAAACCTCCCCCACGATTCCAACACGCCGACAAGCCCTGCTGCGGCGACTGCGGTGACGGGAGGTCGAAGCGCGGAACGCCCGCAAAGGGGTAGCACGCGGAGGCATGGTGCAGGCGCCATCATCCCAAAATTCTGCGAAGGCAAAATGGCCTTGGGGGCGAGGGATACCCACAGGTGTCCTACGCCAAGATGCCCCATTGTTCCCCCCACGAGTGCCAGGAGAAACCTGTGCGCAAGGCGAAGATGTTACCCTGGCAAAACAATCCGTTACCTATCGCCACGAAAACTTACAACCAATCAAGAGCTGCTTACCAAGCTGGTGTTGGGCTCGATGGTTCGGCCCAAGCCATCATTTCATGTTGACTAATAGCAAGATCTGAAGCATAGGTCTGGTTTCGTACTGGCTTTGCATTCAATTGCAAACACGTGTATACAGCGATGTGGAAAACTAGTTTTACGTAAATTTAAAACTTGTATGACCCTAGACAGGGCCACTTTTACGCGTACGAGATTGATGGGTGAGGTCTCCCAACAGCTGACCAATGAGAGGACACCAGCGTTTTCACTGATTCGTCGGTTGGCAACTCATGCGAGATCACCTGGCTTCGTAAGGACGGAACGAAAAGGCGGGGCGAGTTCCGCGAGGCGGTTTCGCGACGATTTTTTATCTGAGAGTCGAAAGAAGAAGCCTTTACAAAACATGTCGGCGCAATATTCCCACGAGAAGTTGGTATTCAACTGACAGTACTACAGAACGAACTCAGAAACTCAAACCACGAAATACGACCCCAAACTCAGGTTCTTTGTTGTGCTAAGCTGGCTCCTAGCAGTAGACATAATCTGAACTCAACCCTGGACCTAGCCATTGAATGCTTCTCACGGAAGTCTCTACCTCTCAACCTTGGAGTTTCACCATTCACATCAGCTACGTTGACTGAGTTTGGTTGAGGTCGCCTTCAGAAGTTAGAGACTTCTGTTGTCGTCCAAACTTCTAAAGGCGATCTAAAGCGCATCACTTCGTGTTTGCATCTCTGCTTTTCATGTGTTACTTTCTTTCAACGAGATGCAGTTAGCCGCTCCCTGCCTTTCGTATTTTCTGAATGAACGATATACACTTTTCTATGCTTCTCTCAGATACCCAAGCCCGCAGCCCTCGGACAGTCACCTCATCAATGTCGTACCTGTGCGAATACCCCAGGTTTTTTTTTTTTTTTTTCGCGTGGACCCGTAACCGACTCGAGTGCATATGTTTGATTCGCTGTTTTTGGTTTTGCCTCGTTCGCAGCTCCCATTCTTGCCTGGTCTTTAGTCAGACGCTGGCATTCGTATTACGACGTTTTGTCACTTCAAATCGTGTCTTATTCCCGCTTTTCAGGGACGTGGGCAAATGTTCGTTCAGGAATTTGGACCTCTGCCATTGTTGTCTTTATTCAGGTGATGGCACATGATCGACATGGCTGTTTCCCAAAAATCGTCTCTTTTCCGACAGCGGCTCACTGCTTTTTACGATTAAGGGTAAGGCATATATTTGCGGTTTGCCACTGCATACCTGTGTATGCCCGCTTTTTCGTCTTGATTCACCACGACAGCCATGCCATTTTGCGAAGTTTCTTTTCCTGCAAGAGCTGTACAGAGAGTTTCGAGGCGTGTCATGCCCATCCTCTTTTGTGAGGCTAACTGTAAGTGAAGTGTTTCTTTAGTACCGTAATCACCCGGATAGACGCCCCTCCGTAGGATTAGTCCCATGGGCTTTAACTCGTGCATTGGGACTTATAAGCATTATTCGATTACACGCCCCTTCCTGTCTGCTCCGGATCAAATCCCTGTACGCCCCCCCCCCTCTTTTGAAACAGCATTTGAAGGAACTAGCCAAGATAGGCAAAATGCACTAGAAACATATTTTTTTAGACAGTTAGAAGTCATCCTATTCAAACCTAAGATTGGTATATGCAACACTTTCAGGCTAGCATTGGTTATCGCACATTACACCTACTCCTAGTCTACTCCTACTCCCCCTCCCCTTCCTCCTCATCCTCCTCCTCCTCCTCCTCCTCCTCCTCCTCCTCCTCCTCCTCCTCCTCCTCCTCCTCCTCCTCCTCCTCCTCCTCCTCCTCCTCCTCCTCCTCCTCCTCCTCCTCCTCCTCCTCCTCCTCCTCCTCCTCCTCATCCTCTGCAGCCCCACCTTCAGCGCCTACCGAGTTGTCTCCAGAGAAGCCATCCGCCCCGACCTCGTCATCAACATCCACCTCTGCCTCTCGCTTGTTGCGCATGTGCTGGAGGGTCAGATAGTCTTCATTGCCGTCGAGCGAGTTGCTAATGCCACACGTCTTGAAAGCCCTCTGAATGAGGGCGGCAGGGATGGCCCTCCACGCCTTGGAGATCCACTTCAGGATCTCCTCCGGTGGAGGCTTCTTGAGGTTTCCTGCGCCAGCAAACATGAGTAACCACTCAGTTAGAACCATGTTTACAGAAAACAAACTGTTAAAAACAAGCCACAAGATACTCACCCTTAGCGGTCTTGGAATACATCCCCACGGAGTCAAACCACTCCTGGTAGTATTGCCTCACCCGAGCCTTGAAAGCTCGGTTGACGCATACGTCCAGGGGCTGCACGACGGAAGTGCAGCCTGCAGGGATGACTCCGGGGATGACAGCAAGCTTCCCGTAGCATTCCTTCACTTCAGGCGTCAGGTGACCACGGTAGGAGTTAAGAATCAGTAGGGCAGAGTGCGCACACAAACCAAATCTTGGGAGGATGAAGGGCTCGACGGCGTTTTCTAGCCAGGTTTTCACACCGTCCGCATCCATCCAGCCATTGGGCTGTGCCGCAACGACGACATCTGCATAAAGACAGAGTATAAGCTTGGTTAACGTGATTGAAGAAGAAGAAAAAAAAACACACACACAAAAGCTGCGAAACCAAAACATACCAGCGGGGAAATCCCCTCGAGGGACGGTCTTCCTCTTGAAGTAGACCCACGGCTTCAGCTTCTCCCCCCCTGCCGTGCACGCGAGCATAACAGTAACTCGCTCCTTCTGGTAGCCGGCGGAGCGGATAGGGACGGAGTTGACGCCGACCTGCTCGACGGTGCGGTCAGCCGGCATCTCCAACCACAATGGAGTTTGGTCGGCGTTGATTATCCAGCGCTCTTCAATGACGTACATCCTCCGCACCTCCCTGCAGAATCGCTAGAAGTTTTCGACCTCTGCCGAGCAACCTGTGGGAGGGCAGTATGGGAATTCGAAAAAAACACGACTTAGTACAACATTCGTACGGAGCGTCAGTGTGAACTCGAATAAGAGAGTACGTGCATAAGCGGAAAGAAGAGACAGAAACAGATGCAATGACGGTGTACTTACTATCGGTCATTTTCTGACCGACTTTCGTCTTGGCGCGAACCGACAGATTCCACCTTGACCGGAATCGTTCGGTCCAGTGGTAGGAGCCCTGCCATTTGACGTCGGGGTGAAGAACCTTCATTAACTCCCGTGACCACTTCTGCAGCCTTGACACCGGGACCGGAGTTCCCACAGTGAGAAGCTTTGAATACACCTACGTCTCCATATCGGCGTACCAAGAAGACCTCCCCTGCCCATGCAGCCTCTTACGGCAGCCGTGGGCAGCTCTCAGCTCCTCCTCGTGCTTCGACCAGTCGTTGATGCGGCGGCGTGAGATTCCAGACTCTCGTGCGACTTCATTCTTCTTCTTTACCTCTTTTAGTCGGTCCAGCCAAAAAAGCTTCTCCTTCGCCGTGTAGGACTTTCGCTTCCTCCCGTTCATCCGATTCCTGGGGGATGGGGGGCAGGCATCTCGATTCACAGAAGAAGGATGTGGCGGTTTTCTGCCCTCGGGAAACAACGGCACAGGGAGCTTCTCGGGAAGACCATCCCGAGACCAGTACTCGGCTCCATCATCAGCATCCACGTCGTGCTCGGGCCACTCATCGCTGTGCGGAATCCCCCAATCACGAGCAGCAGGTGGCGCAGCGGAAGAGCTAGCGTCGGGCTTTGGATGTGCATTGATGTCGTCTTGCGGAATCTTCTCGCCCGACAGCAGCAGAGTCAGGACTGGCAGTCCGTACAGGTACGGAGGAGCGGGTGGCGCTGGCGGGGCAGGAGGAGTGGGAGGAGCCGGCGGAGCAGGAGGGGCAGGGGGAGCCGGAGGAGCCGGAGGAGCGGGAGGTGCGGGAGGAGCTGGACGATGCTCTGCTCTAATGCGCGTGGGCTCGCCTGGTCTACCAAAAAGGATCGAAATGCCAGACACGGGAAAGCCAGCCATAGCTCCCGCAAGGGGAGCTGGTGCTGCTTCAGCGTTCACATCGATAGGAAATGAAATACTGAACCCCTCGACGAGGTACCCCCTCCTGGAAGGCGGCTTGGGTTCCTCGTCGGGGTCAGATTCCTCGTCGATGAAAGGGGTGGAGGAAGGAATTTTTTCAGCAAGATTCCTGTCCAGATTCCTGGTACCCCAAGCCACGTGGCTGCCCTGGTGCGGATGTTGCCGGAACGTGGTTCCCAACACCACCGAACCATGTGTGCTGGCACAGCACGGCACCAGGATTGCTTGTGATAGGGCCGCATGGCAACTTTCATGCCTTGCTGTGCTGGTCGCACATTCAAGCCTAGTTTCCGTGCCTGTTCTCAGCGTGTCCCCTCTGGAACCACGCCCAATAGCCTACAAACATCAAGACCTACAGTTTTTCATTTTTTTTAAAATATTCTGTCAAATTCGTTATAAACGCCCATGGGCGCATATTTTTTATTCAATTAAACGCCCCCCCTTGATTAAAAACCAGTCCTATAAACGCCAACAGGGGCGTCTATCCGGATGATTACGGTACTGTTTATTTTTATTTTTCCCTTCTATTCTTCTTGAACTGTTTTGCTTATTGCCTTCTGTTGGAAATATCTCAAAGGACTTAAGCGTTTCTGAAGTATAACACTGTACTCGAGGAAGATTACAGGGGAGCACGCGAGTCAACGGAGGTTGCACGAGGGGGCGGACAAAGAATGCGAAAAGACTCGAAAGGTCGCAACTGGAGGTTCTTATCTTCTATATATTGCTGTATGCTTGTTCCTTTAATCAATCACTTGTTCTCACATACTAGTACAAGGGTTCAAACCGTCTCAACTTCCGCTGCACTACTCAAAGTCTCAAGTCTTCACAGCTGGGACTTAGTCTCTGAAAAGATCCTAAGGGCTTTTTCTCAGCCCAATACCTTCTGTTTCCATCCTTCCTGTGCAGGTTATGTGCATTCAGATTACTAGCTGCCACTTCCACGGAGATTTGAACCATTTCGTTGTAGTCCAAAATATTTGTGTTATGTATGTATTATCAATAACATGTTGTAAATCCGGAAACTAAAAATGCGACAGTTGGTCGAAATTTTTTATTGAAATCGATCATTTTCAGTATTAGCAAATGGACATTGGATAAGAACGAACATTGAATTTACCAATATGATTTTCGGAAAAAGGATGCCTATATTATAGTTGAGAGGTATATTACAATTATTGTGCGCGTATCGAGTAACTGTGTATCAAGGTAGCGCCTCGGAAAAATGTAACCCTCATCTTCCCCTTTCTTAGCCCTGACGTCACTTGAGGGTGACCCGAAGGTTTCGGAAAGGGATTACATCGTGGGTTTCCCACGGGTCACATCGAAAGGCATTTTGACCGTCGGTTTCCCCGAGGTCACCCAGTCGGAAGCCCCAGGGTTACCCCCCAGCGCGAAACCCTCAGGTTACCTGTGGCAGTCTTGGGGGTATCATTTTGCCACCCTAATTTTTGGGATGCATGATGATGACGACAACGGCGGGGGACGGGGATGCGCACTCGACGCGGTGGGAAAGGCTTCAGCCTCCGCGGCAGTCCACGTGACGCGCACCGCTTCTAGTGTTGGCGACGAAGGCTGGCCTCGCGGCGATTGATGTTGCTGGGCTACTCGTACGCGCGTGGTCACGTGAGCGGCGGTCAGAAATATATGAATGAGGAGGATCGGCTGACACAAAATGCCTGAAAGAGGCCCGAGATGCAGCGTTGATACAAAACGAGGAGGCGAGAAGCAAGCAAGGTGGAGCGAGGCGAATGAGTGAGCTAGAATCTGAGAGGAATGTATGGCTGGACAGGGAGGGGGGGGAGGAGGGGAGGTGGCGGGGGCGCATTGGTAAATTGCCCTTCGACGGTTGCCGAGTCTAGGTGTGCGCGCTGGGACGCGATGGGCGGAACAAAGAGAAAAAGAGGCCGAGGGGGCGGCAAGGAAGGACGCGTCGGCCTAGCGAGTGATTCATGACGGGAGACTCGCCGATGTGTCTGCATGGCACCGCCTCTTGCGGGCACGCAGCATCTCGTGCTACCGCAAGGCCGTGCTGTGGGGCGCTAGAAGGTGGACTACGAGTACTAGGGTCTGCTGCAGGTGGTGCCATGAGCGGGCTGACTGCATTTGTGATCGCAAAACGCGATTGGCGTGCTGTGCGCGGGGGGGGGGGGGGGGTGGGTGGAAGGCAGGTTGGCAGGTTGTGGAGTGGAACACGATGACTTCGATGGCCCGTGAACTGCGGCCCGTGGTTTGTGCTGGGAGGAGTTGACACGGACGAAGCAGGTGAAGGTGTTCGACCGTTCCCCCGCGACCAGCCAAGGAAATGCGAACAATGCATTGAGAGTATATACGGTTCAGAACAAGGTGCCATTTTAGGGCTATTCTCCCCGTGTCAGCTACTCTGACACGAGGATGTTGATGAGCAGTGGCCAAAAGGCAGGCCCAGCAGCAACGGTGCGCCACAATACCTAACTGGCCAAAACATTTCTTCTGTTTGCTTCAGTCTGCAGCTTCATGCACGGGTCAGTTTCCGGAAGTGGTCCGATTTTCGATCCCGAGGTAGTAATGCAACAGTGTAAAGAAATGGTATTTCCTAATCAGGGGTTTTAGTAAGGCGTCACTGCTATAACGGGGTTGTTGCGCAGCTCTGCCACGAATTTCAAATCGCGGCACCCAAATGTGGTCTCTTGACGAGCCACATGTAGTTTTGTCTGGGTGCTTCGCCCCAATTTACCAACCACACGTCTCAGCTGTGCCAAGCCTCGACCATGTGATCTAGGCCTAGCTATATCCAGCCTCCCTGTTGTTTTTATGTTGACTCATTGTATTGTTTCCTCGCTACTCAACTGTTCGACATAAGCTCTTTGCACCTGGCCATCAGAGCCAATGATCCTTAGCCTAAGGTCTAGTTTCGCTGCAATACCGACACTTAGGGAGGCTGACACCCCGTTCTTACTGCATATTCATTGTCTTGGTAATATTCATCGATAATAACCTACAGCCACGACTACGTTCGCAGTGCCAACGTGCCGAATGCTGCCCAAATCTTCCACGAAAGGGTGCAGCCATCGTCGTCTAACGCCATGACTGCTGAAGAAAGGGCGGCAGCACTCGATGAAATAAGTCTTACTAACGAGTCGTATCAGCTCGAGTTGGCATATATGCGAGCTGAAACAGCCCAAGCTGAATCCGAAATATCTGCACTACGAAGCCGGATGCCCCGGAAAGGACACACCACAACCCCGTCAATGACAAACCAAGGACAACAGGAGCAAGTTAGGGCGTATTCCTGGGGTGTGCAATCGGGATCAGCAAACTCAATTATGAAGCTGATCCCGGTGGGCAAAATCAAACACCAGGATCAGCGTATATGTGAGGCCACATCCTCTCGCACACAACGCATGTGATTGGTCAACTATATATGCACATTCAGCAAAGTGTTAATCCAATCTTGACATGGGTCGCGTGGGTGTCGCAGCGACCGGAGCGACGCACTATGACAAAAGGAAACACACAAACGAACAGGTTGAGGCACTCACTGCTCGTATGCACCAGCATTCGCATCTCGAGAGTCTCACACTTTCTTGGTTGCGAGGCTTTTGCCATTTCAAGGGGTGGGTTTGTTGGTGCAACCCTATGGCTTGCACTCGGCTTGTCGTCCTTGTTCGTGTGTGTGCATGCATGGCATGGAATGACTTGTGAGTCTATGTCATTGCTATCTAGTGCTTGTGTGTGTGTTTGAATGGTGTATCACAATGTGGTTTGTGTCGGTCAAGATATTAGCGAGTTTTTACAACTCGCATGTCAAGTCGTTGTTTGCGTGTCGCATGTGTTTTTCTATTTTGTCGAGTGTGAAGTGTCCATCGCATCGCAGGTGTGTGCAGCAAGCCCTCATCAACTCAAGAAAAAATTATCTTGCAGAATCAAGACCAAGAGCTCAAGATTTCAAGCCCGAGGGAAGTGGATAAACATTTATTACAGTGAAAATAGTAATGCCACTTCATATAGTGTTACATTTCACTTGGTCCAGCCCCTTGTTGGGTTTTTTTCGAGTCCCTTCGTGGTTGGGGACTCTGTGGTGGTGTACCACCAACCTGGACCTCGGCTCTTGGGGGATGTAGGGGCTGAGAACCATCTCAATCTCGAGTCTTCTAGCTAAGTTTGTACTTCTAAGACTATAGTGGCTGCTATACCTCGTGCCAGACAAACCGTCATCATGTCGTCAAATCTTCATGGAAACTCATGATTCAACTTGCTGCTGATAGGTAACAGCAACGCGCTCCAGATCCAACTTACAGATCACCGTTTGGGTTACAGATAAGATCGCTATCAATACTTGAAGCTGTCTTACGGAAATCCGACTATGCACTCTATCTCTCATTTTATACACATCTAAGCCTATTGTGATTATAACAGGGTTCGCGTCGAGCAAGAGTGTGGGTTACCGGAATTTTTTTTTGGTTAAATTGTGCAGCATAGAGCATATATGTTGCAAGTCGTGTCTAGATTGCAAAGCAAACATCACATCGCATTGAGTCACGTGCGCTGCACACGTGGCAACCATTTGTGACGGACCCCATCGAGCGTGATCTACAGGCTGAAAAACGGCAGAATCACAGACTCGGATCCGTGTTTGCTGATCCCAGGAATACGCTCCCCAGGAATACGCTCTTACTCAGCAGCATTTCGAAATACCTTGCGACAATCGGCAACCGCATGCAGCTTCACCCGAGGGCTCTACGAACAACCCGCCATCGATCATTAGACGAACAGAAGTCGACGAAGGGGCGAATGTCAACCTGCCGCCCCAAATTACCTCTTTCTCCAGCCTGCAAACTGCAAGTATCAACAGGGCACCGAGAATACTCAAGACGCAGAGGCCGCCCACGTTCAACCCAAGCCAGCATGGCAATTTGTCCGTCACTGGATGGATTTTTCATCTGAACGTTTTTTACAACTGCAACCTCGTCGTTGAAGATTCGCAGAAGATCTGATACACTATCTCCCTGCTACGTGGATCGTTGATGGATTGGTGGCAGCTGATAATACAATCTCAAGAGCCGGATACAACGTCGCGTATGATTGGGCGTTTTCGCACAACCAGTCACAGGGTAGGAAGTTTTGCGAGGTGGACGAGTACAGTACGTGGCAATCGTGGTGCGCGGGAATTCGTCGCCGCTTCAAACACGTCAACGCAAGCAGTCAGGCGCGCGACCGCCTTCGCTCATGGTGCCAACTCGGATCGGTCCAAGACAACACCAACAACTTCAAGAACCTATGCGACCAGGTCGGCTAGGTTCACCATGAAGAAAATTTCGACAGATACATCGGGGCCCTTCGATCGGATCTGTGCCGAGAATTACAAGTGCGAGAAATAACAGATTTGATAGAGGCGCAGAGGGCTGCCGAGCGGTTGGACTAGTTCTACAAACCAAGGGTGGGTTCCTACGACAGAAACCGCATTGGGGAGCCAATTGAGCGTGCCACTGTACACGCTGTTACGACCTCAAAATCAGCAGTTACAGCTTCAAGGGTCATTGTTTCTGGTATAACAGGCCGGGACACCGCAATTCGGATTGCCCAAAGGAGCGGAAGAATCGGAATGAGGGGCAGGGGGGTTCTAGCGATCAGGGAAACACTTAGTATTGGTAGTTAACGGGCCTATTACTGATGGTACCTGCTCGCCTGTAATCGACGACCCTCATCGAGTTCTGGTACCGATTTACAAGTTCGACCAAACCCAGCTGAACAATGAAGGTGCAGGGGCGGATTACCCAATGTATTTAGCGGGTAAGGTTCAAGGCGGAAAAAATAAAATCTTCGTAGATGGAGGTGCCAGGTATATCCTCATCAACCTTGCCACGACAAAAAAAGTGCACTTACTTGGT